AAACCACAAACTTCAGCCAGGACAGCTGCCCCAAATGAAGTGATTGCTCTTTGCCCTCTGGCACATACCCTAGCTTTTGCTGGTCACTTTAATCCTTTCCCTCTGAAGTCTTTTCACCTTGGTCGAGGCTTTTAGAGCAAGCGTGCTAATTCCAGTCTCCTGAATAATCATTACATAAATAATTGCATCTTACTTGCCAGATTTCCGTGAATATGCTCAAGCCAGATGACTGAAACTGAAAAAACAACTTAGAGGCATTTAACCAGTAGCTGAAAGCTTCCCACCGAAGCACCTTCTGCACCAACAGCCAAGAGTGCTCTGTGCATTTTTCCTGCTGGCCCCGATGCTGGTGCTGTCTCCCGGTCAGGTTTAAAATGTTGGTCTTGGCTGCTGTTGGAAGAAATTGTCACTGGAGGTTTCAGCCATGGTAGGAGACACAGGCTGAAATGCACACCAGCTCGGCCTCACCTCCTGCTGCGCACAGTGAGTGGTCATTAAACCATCTTTGTAGGGCACTGTGTTTCACACTCCCACCAAGAAAGACTGGACACACCTGCCCTGTGCACTTAACCTCCATAAGGCTTATTCCTCATCTTGCTTTTGAATTTATTTGGAGACCTCTTAATTAAATGGCATTTGGGGGTATGTGTATTTTTTTTAAAAAGACAACAACTAAACCAGGACAAACAGAGATGGTCGTGCTAATTTAATAATGCATTAAAACCCAGTTTATTTGCCTAAAGAGGGCAAATATCTACCCTGGCTTAAGGGCAGTGCTGCCGTGCATCCTTTCCACATGTGGAGCAGGCAGTGCCCGGCAGCACAGGCAGTGCCCACGCACGGCTCAGTCCCATGTACCCTCCTGCCCTGCTGTGCTCTCCTGAGCTGAAACACTTGCTTTAATATGCAGCTTGTTAATGAAAGTGTGTTAGCAATGCATGGGAATCCAATGTGAAATACAAAATACCTCGATATAAAACCATGACAGCAATTACTGGGTATGCATTGCTTTGTTTTCCATTCCAGCCCTGGCTCGTCAGACGCCCAGCACCGACCATCTCCCCCGCAGCAGCAGGGAGGGAGTGCAGTCCCTGCTGTCGGTGGATCAGACCTGATTTGGGGGCACAGCACTGTGGGGTTTGGGAGGAACAGTCTCAGCTTAGTATAGTCAGTCACTGATTTCCCTGGAGCTGGCATTGTGGATGTCACCCTAAATTTCCTCCAGTGGAAGCAGTCACGAACCATTGCGTACAGATATGCAATGCAGCTGCTAGCGGCGGGCACAGGGTTAAACTCTGCAAATGCAGGTAAAAAAATAACCTTGTTTTCCTTGGTCCTGTTGAAAGTCTTCTTGGGGGTGTCATGGGATGGGATATTTTAGTGTAGGAAACCTGAGTCTTTTCCCAGACCCCTCCCAAATGAATTTGTCCCAGCGCCTTCCCTCACCAGGGAAAGCACTGGGCAGATACCAAGCACCCCTGTAAGGGCAGAGTGAACCCCAGAGCACGACCAGATGTTGAGAGCTTCAGGGGAAGGTCTGGGACAGGTCCTCTGCTCCTGGGAGCACAGCGCAGCGTGCTGCTTCTAAGCAACAGGAGGCTGGAGGGACGTCTCCCTATCTACAGGTTCATGAATGTATGCAAGTGTCTCTGGATTTCTTTCTCCCAAACCACCCAGAATGATTTGTGTCATCACACAGGGGACAAATTGGTATTACCGAGGCTATGTTCGGAGGAGCTGGCAACACTGCACTCGAATAAAGTGTTTTTAAGCTTGTTAGCACTTGAGCAGGGTGGCACTTCAAGTCCTCTTTCACAGGTGACGTGGATTATATATAGTTCAAGTAGAGAATCAGCAAGTCATATTTCTCTTTTTACTTTTCAGTGACAGACAATTTAAAAGTCTTTATGGCATCCGATTTCAACTTGAATAGTTGTGGTTTAGGAAGCAAAACTCTTTACAGAATTGCTGTAATTGAAGCGTGAGGTTATTCATGCCTTGAACTGACAGTGAGCCTTGACACCTGATACAGTCGTCTTGTGTTCAGACCTCTTTCTTCCTCTGTCAGCAGATTATCTCCTCTGGCTACTTACACATTTTCCTCTCTCTTGCGCAGCCCCAAGCAGCCAAATACATCTAGGCTAATGGAAGTGTGAAGTTAATATAAGGAGGAACCTTATTACCTCTAAGTTGTTTTTCTTTCTAAGCTCTCACTTACCATGTCAGCATGTTCCTGTTCCCTCCCATTTTTCTTTTATTTCTCACCCTTTTGGAAAGATTCATTCCTAGGGAGGAATTACCTCTGGGGACACATGGAGCATGCTTCTTGCCTTTTGGCTGACTGACAGGTTAGATTTGATTAGTCACTTGCCCTTTACCTGGAAATAAATAGTATACAATGACAGAGTGGGACTATAGACTGGTGTGGAGTAACACCAATTAATAGTTATTAAGTATCCCTCATCTAAGCAATATTTAACTACATTAAAGACTGTACAGAAACTTTTGAAAAACAGCACAGATATCAGTCAATGAATATACACGTCAAGAAAACAAAACCCCATAATGAACAGTTGAATAATTTTCTTTCTCTAGTAGAGTCTTTTTCAGGCATTGCCAATATTATTTTTATTATAATTACTATAAATATTATGTAGGTTTTATACTTGAGTGTCCACATAGGGATGGATATGTTTTTAGATATGTTACATATTTTTAAAAGAGAAAAATCCAAATTCATAATCCTGTTCCATTAATCTTACCTGTCAGGTAGGAACATCACCAACAAAGAAAGTTCAATACAGAAAAGGCATGTTTTGCACTTCTTTCTAAAAGTGGCTTAGTTCATGCATAATTGCACTGCATTATTGTCATTTGTTCCATGAATAAAGCATAAATACAGAGAAAACCAAGCAGATAATACTAGTAAACTGACAGTAGCAAAACCCTTAATAATTCTCTGAAGCTGCACCTGCCGGTGCAGAACTCATGCATATGCCCATTGCAAAACTAATGCTAACGTGAGCATGTGCCGCAGGAAGCGGTGCCCTTACTGCGCGGCACTGTTGTCCCCAGGGTGCAGATCGCTCCTGCTAGGCAGCAGCAATAGTTGGCTCCTACTCTCCATTATCAAGCAAGGGATGATAGACACAGAAAGATGATGATCATTCAGCTGGCTGCTGGCTCTCTCCCCAAATCCCCTTTTTCTCACACGCATGCAGAGATCCAGTAAACGGTACACAGTTTGGTATTATTGGTATTATTTGGTATTTGTTTGCATTCAGACACATACTCGAGCTCCCTCTCTGCATGTGGTCCATGTTTCGAGAGTTTGCTCCTATCTGTCTCATAAAGGAATTCTGTGGTTGCCGTCGTCGTATCCCGGGCTGTTGCATAAACAGCATCTCTGAAATCCCAGTCCACTGCTAATGTAAGGTTTTTTTCTCACTGTCTGCAAAGAGCCCTCTCTTCCACCCTGCCAGCCTAGGGGAGGGATAGAAATGTACAAAATACCTTCTGTGCTTTAGGTGTGGCATTTCCTTGTATGTGCCCAGGAGCACGGTGAGCCACTTTTTCTTTCTAAAAACATGGAATTCCCACAATGAAACATGTTTGCAAAACATGTCTGTTCATGTGGGTTGGACCCAAAGCTGGCTGTGGGATGCCCTGCCATTTCGTCTGCTAGAGGAAGTCACCATATCTGGTCCTTTTAAAGACGCGTGGGCACAAGTTTATTTTGGAGATTGTTTGGTCCCCTTCTGACTTGTGTGTCCACATACACCCGTGAGGGAATTTGCAGAAATGTATGTAGTGATCGTGCTTTCTTGCATATTCATAACAATAAAGATTTAAGAAATACTTTAATTCATGCTTTTAAATAAGACTTAAGGTCTCAGCTTTCTTGCCTTTCTTTCCATCGTGCTGGGGCGATGTGATTGTTTTTATTTTACTCTGTACTCAGTATGGTCACTGGTCACGACAACGGATGAAGAAATGCTAAGGAAGAACAACGGCATGATGTTTTGCCGTATTTCACAGAAGTGTTGGAAATCCTAAAACAGTTTCCCTGGTACACATGGTAGGGATTACAACCAAAACCTCATGCTGGTAATGCCATCCCATCCCTGGCCAAAATACTGTTGCTACATGTAAAGCTCAGCTCCGGCTTTACATGTACCTCTGAAAGCCCAAGCAGCCAGAAAAAGCGATACAGCTCTCCTTCCCACAAGCAGAGGAAGAGTGCCCTTAAAACCCTAGGAGCATCAGGCGGCCATAGTTTTGCATTTCTGGACACATACATTAGTGTAAATAGAGCTCTTCTAAATGAGCAGGAAGCAAATTAGATCCCAGAGAAGTTTTTGTTTACTCCTACTTGTACTCTGACAGTTTGCAGATGGGTTTTACCTTAAGAATCCACCATATCTGAAAAATGTAATATTAGATGTGTTACTTCTGTTGTTCTTCCTTGTCAGTGTAACTGGCCTAGTAGCTAAGAAAAAAATTACATATTTTGACTTTTCTTTTTGGACCATTCCTTCCTGACATTTTCATAAGCAAGTGAGGCGTGATCCCTCAGAGAGGGCACACAGCTGGCTGAAAAATCACACTCATAAAGTTGCTTTCAATGTTTTACTGTTGAACGGAGAGGCTATTTCAAGGAGTTCATATGGATCTATCTTGAGCACATTAATGTTAATTATTTTCATTACTGACTTGGAGAAAGGATAAAGAACAGTATGAAGAGTGTGTATGAGTCTAGACAGATCTTGGAAGAACTTTGGCAGCAAGACATAAGACTTCAAAGGCAACACTGGCAAATACTAAAAGGTTTTGAAATCTCCAAGGTAAAACTGAAGTTTTGAAGTACTACACTTCTTAGAAAAGAGGAATGAAATGAGCAACTGGAAATAAAGAATAACTAGCACTGTTAGCATGACAGCTCTGTAAGAGAAAAACAAATCAAATTGCATTGTATGTCTTTCTGATTAAGAGAAAACAAGATGACGAGTCTTTCTCCATGGTACGTTAGCTGGTTTGTTAGTTGTAGGTCATTAATGGGAAATCATTATTCTTTAGACAAAACTGGTGAGACCAAAAGTAAGAAACTCTACATGCAGCTATAGGCATATCACTTCCTCAAAGATGGAGACAGATTGAGGCAGACCAGAGGAGACCAATGGTACATTGTTCAGAAAGTGAATGGCTAGAGGACAGGCAGTGTGAAGGTACTGGGCTTGTTAATTTGAGAAAAAGAGGGAAAAAAAGAGCATGATGATGATTTCCCAACAAAAAAAAAGGAGAAAGTGAACTACTTTGGTTTCTCTAGACAATGAGGGAAATAAAAAGAAAGAACAACTCAATTGGCAGCAAAACCCAATGCAGTATACCAAGAAATGTTGCAGGGTCTCCTTTTTTGGAGATGTTTGACAAAGGCCTGGAGCAGTGACCACACTGGTCTCTCCCTTTGTTTCCAGAGAGCATTTCTGGACACCCATTCAATCTCTACATTTCTATCAGTAGCATGTAACAGTACTGTCATTGCTATTGCCTATTGGATCGTGTGAATATTAATTTCACAGAGCAGCAGCTCTGCAACCATTTCTTCTGTTCTGCCCTGAGACAGACACGTTTTCTCAGGCAGACGGATGTGCTTAGCTTTGCGATATGCTTACTCTTACTCATGTCCTTCATTGAATCCCTGTGCTACCAACCTAGCCATTTTGGTTTAGGAACTTTTCTTTTGCTATGCACAGAAAAAATCCCTACAAATTATTCTATGAATTTAAAAGAGGGAAAAAAGAAGAGCACAGGAAGAAAGCAGAATGGGACTTCTGATTTGATCAGTCATGCATATAGATATACATATGCATATATAAATAAGTATACTACGTTATTTATTGTTGTCTTTTTTATGTTCACAGGGCTACAGCTACTCATAGGGGCCAAGTTATATTCAAGGATGCCTTAGCACAACAGCTGTGTGAACAGGGAGGTAAGAGCCACCATCATATTAAAAATATCTGGCACATGTGGTTTTCCATTGTACTTGCATGTTGGTGTAACTCATCATGAAAGCTATTTCGTAAAAAACGTAGTGTCAGGATCTTCTTTATATTTTTAAAACTGATAATTTCTTTTTCATACTTCCCATTAGCTCTCTGGGAAACCCTTCTGTCCTCTCTACTAAATGTTGGGGAATGTACAAAAGTGAATCTTATTACATTACACACGTACCTGAAATCAGCCTGTAACAACCAACATTTGTTTTTTGTCAAAACCGCAAGCTGAGTTTTAACTTAACTATAAGCAAAAAATGCAATATGCCTGTAGCAAAAGCTTCGTTTACCATCCAGCTCACATGTATCTTTGTGAAGAACCTGCCTTCCCATTTTGTGAAAGTAGGCCATCAAATTTTTGCCCATCACCTACAACATTTGATCATTTTTATAGCTAAACAAAATGTTTGACTTAAGCAAACTTTAAAAATCTAATTGTTTGCACAGCTTATCATATATATCCTTTTGATAAATAACCTAAAACCAAATATCCTGTTGTGAGCTGTTGTCTACAAACAGCACACTGCTTTGAACCTGCTGCACTGAAACAGTGCGGAGTAGAGAAAGTATCCATCATTTTTGGTATAGGAGAGAAAGGAATTTCTGTGAAAAGAGACAGTGAAACATGGGCCAACCAGTCTAAAATAAATATTTCATAATTATAAATGTGTTGTCATATTAACAAAGAAGAAAAAATCCCCCAAAATATGTTTTTTGGTGGCATTAGAGCTATAGGGCTTTTTTTTTCCTATGAGTTTGGGAGTATCTGTGCAATGGTTTTTGCAATAGGAAGCTGTTGAACATTATGTCAGGAGCATATACTGAGTTATTCGTGTAAGGTATGAATAGTACCTCCATGACAATGAGGGGAAATTATTTCAATTTTCAGTTTCGGTATTTGAGTTTTCAGTATTTTAATATTTTAATAGGAAGTAAGAAGGGGGATTCAGAGAGGTGACTGAAGATGTTAGCTAACAAGCTGGGAAGTTAGAATTAGTTGTATTTGTATATATGTCATACACACATACACACATATACATGTCTCATTCATATATATATGAATGAATTAGAAAAATGTAACACAGATGCTGGCAATCAGGAGGGAGTGTTATAATGATCTGGATGGAGGGTGATTCAGCTAGGCATGTATCATATTTTTACTGTGTGGAAGGAAAAACATCTGGAGAAGTTACCAAAGTGCATTTGGCATTCAGAACAGGAGATAAATTGTACCCCCATAATGTGGGTGTGGAAGAGTAGTGTTTTGGTGACTAGTATAGGGGGTTTGGGAACAGAAGTGCTGGCAGAAACACCATTTGGGATGTGCTAAGGAGGATGGTGAGGATACCTTGCACAGGCTACTCGCTGGATGGACACAAGTCAAGAGTGGAAAAGTCAATATGCAGAGTCATCAGCATAAAATGGTGAAAAGCCTCATAAGCAGATGAAACTCTCCAAAGCATGGCTGCGTAGCGAGCGCACCGTGGCCAAAGGCAGTCTGTGGTGGCCAGAACAGGTAAGGAAAGGAGAAGGAAGTAAAAGACATGTTGATGGCAGAGTGACAGAGAGCCAGAGAGCTGGCAGTGACCAGCACGATGAAAGCTATGTGCAAGCAAGCTGAAAGGAAATATACGGTTATCAGTGTCAGAACTGGCAGCAGGTCAAGGAGAATATAGGCAAAGCAACAAGGTTTCTCCCTGCTAGAAGAAAATACCTTGATAAGCAGAGACTAGTGAGTAGAAATACATCCATCCAGGCCTTGACAGTCCTTTCTGCAGACATGCTGTACTGGGATTTTTTAGTAGGAGAGTTGACAGCAGAAATTGTAATTCTTTCACCCTTCTCTGCTTTACATTTCTCCAATTTCTCCTAACCTCAAATCCCCATTTTAGCAATACTTACGCTGGTTAGGACAATAAGTCATTAGGGTACTGCCTGCTGTCCCTGAGTTCACAGGGACTCTGCAGGACTAGGAGAAAATGGGATTTGTGTATTGGTTGTGTGTGGAGAATAAAAGATGCTGAGACATGCCATCCCTGGGCCTTCGCTGGCTGCTCAGCCGTGACAGTCCCTTTGCCTTCTCCTCCCACCCAACCACTGATAGCCATGTCCTGCACCGCTTCCCTGAAAGGGCCTCCAGCTTCCCCACCTTGTCGCAGTCTCCTGCATCCTCATGATTTTTGTGTTACCTGTGATTTTCCCAGCAATTCTGTTTGCTTTATACAGTCACTTCAGAGACTTTGTGGATTTGTGTCCTCCAGAATATTTGATGTCATTGTGGTAACCCTGCAAACACCAGTTTTGACCTAGTCAAGGATCACCCAGAAGTACTGTTTTATGAGCAGTTCACAGTGTATGACAGCCATGTAGTCATCATATTTCCCTGCAGTATTGATGTGCAAGCTTCTCAGAGGTTCTCTTGGTCCTTCTCTGTCCTTTACTGTGTTCAGTTTTGGGCCCCTCACTACAAGAAGGACATTGAGGTGCTGGAGCGTGTCCAGAGAAGGGCAACGAAGCTGGTGAAGGGTCTAGAGAACAAGTCTTCTGAGGAGCGGCTGAGGGAACTGGGGCTGTTTAGCCTGGAGAAGAGGAGGCTGAGGGGAGACCTCATCGCGCTCTACAACTACCTGAAAGGAGGTTGTAGTGAGGTGGGGGTTGGTCTCTTCTCCCAAGTAACTAGCGATAGGACGAGAGGAAATGGCCTCAAGTTGCACCAGGGGAGGTTTAGACTGGATATTAGGAAAAATTTCTCCACCAAAAAGGTTGTCAGGCCTTGGAACAGGCTGCCCAGGGAAGTGGTAGAGTAACCATCCCTGGAGGTATTTAAAAGACCTGTAGACGTGGCGCTTAGGGACATGGTTTGGTGGTGGACTTGGCAGTGTTAGATTAACGGTTGGACTCGATGATCTTAAAGGTCTTTTCCAACCTAAATGATTCTATGATTATCTCAGATTTTTATCCTCACTACAACCTCTCTCCCCTTAGTTTCCTAGCTTGGCCACTGTTTTCCTGACCCAGCTAGTCAACCACCCATTTGCCCATTGCCCTTCCTCCCATCCGTTCCAGCACCAGGCTCTCCTCTGCTCTTTTGTTCTTATTTCTTCAGCAGACAAAGTGCATTGCATTAGCCCCTAACCAATGTGTACTATTACAGCTCTTATACTATTAGGATTAATTTTCCTATTCAAATAAAAGATGCTTTCTTTGAAGCAAACCTCGCTTCTTTCATTCCATGAAGACAATCAGAGTTTCATCAATACTATTAATGTAAACAAAGGATTCCTTCAGAAAGAATTAGTAAATTTATTTAGATGCAAATATCATATTAAGATATATGCAAAACAGCAAGGTATATTGATATAAATGAGGTTTTATGGTCTGTTTCTGGCCCTAAACATTACTATACTGAAATGCTGTAGTGAATGATGTGACATATTAGGTAAAGAAAATAAAACCACAGGGCAACTTCATAGGTTTATTACAGGATATCTTTTTAATAAGTATGTTCACTGGAGATGATATCAGACTTCATAATAACTAGTACAAAAGATATACATAAAGCAAGGAATCTCAGAAATCGTGTTCACTGTGGCTGTCCACTCTCAGATGTGCATTAGTAAATCCTAATAGAGTTAATGGGATTTGTGCAGTGAAAGGAAAGTGTAGTTCTTATTTTGAAGAGAATTAGAGGATGATAAAGGGCAGCCTTAAGGGATGGCAATGGCAAACAAGCAGCCCTATGTATAATGTAAATGGAATAAGGAATGATGCCATAGGCAAAGACACCAAGGAAAGTAAAATAATTGCTTGAAAAGCTGTGTGTTCAGCATATAATAAATATTTTAGGAAGCTAGAGAGATCTTTGAGAACTGATGTAAGCTTTAAAGTTTATAAGAATTTTACTGATATTGAAGAAAAGAGACATAAAGATTATCAGACAAAAGAGTTAATCCAGCACTAATAGGCAGGAAAACAAGAACTGTATAAGCCAACATAGAAAAGATAGATGTCTTATAAATACTTTTAAGGACAAATAAGGATGTTAATGACTGATTATATTCTTGCCATTAATTATATCTTTAATTAACAATATCTTTAACTTGTTGATCTAATAGCAAAATAAATGGAAAATAAGGTAAACTTATTATTGTGCAGATTGATTCATATTTATTCCTGGCTTGAATAGAACAAAAATCATACATTAATAAACAGTAGCATAATTAAAATGGAGTTGGCAAAACATCAGACCCGGCTGCATAGCACTGCAGACCTCAAAAGAGTTTAGGTCTGTATGAAAACAGCGATGCTGCTGGGAGGAACAGCTCGCAACGCAGGGATGGATGCAACCGGCACTCACGTCACACAACCCTGCCTGCCTTTGCTGCATCAAATAGTTTTAAAGAATTAAGGAGACTATGTTCCTGGTACACTATGTAACTTTGGACCAGTACTACAGTTCTTTGGAATAAGGACCATACTGGGAGATTTGTAATTTAGTTCTGACTGACTGAAGAAGAATCTCTGAACAGTAAAACCTAAGAGATGAAAAAGATGAAGGATGTTGTTCCCTCATAGCACAAAATCATTCCTTTCCGCATAGTTCCCAGAATTTTTTACAGTCTCATACTCAATGCCACAAATTATAGGATTGGTATTCCTTTCTTAAGAAACCACTCTATGGTCTGACAGATGTCCCCCTATGAAAGTAAATCCTAAGAATTGGCCCAGACTCTCTTTGATAGCTTCTGCCTGAATGTTTGTGGAAGACCTTTTAGGCCTATTTTGTACCTTGTAAATATGGATTTAAGAACACTCTGAAAAACAAATGCAAAACAGATTGCAGGCTCTCAGGCTTGACCAGAGCGGTATTTTACAGAACAGAAGACTGGAGTTCAGAACTGACATATTGTTCCTTGGCTTATGTGTCAGCAAGAATAATGCAGCAGCCCCCAGGCAACACACTGACTCTCTCTAGGGGGATGTTCAGCCTCTATCACTCAATAGCAATTTTGTTTACTAGTAGAGAGAAAGTATTGGCAGGAGTCTAAATAAAAGCATTCATTTTCTTTTTCATCTTCATCTAGCTGCTAATGACAAGGAGATTAGACTTTTTCATAATCTGCAAAATAGAATATACCTCGTCTCACATCTCGTTTGTGATGAATTGATGAGCAACAGCTAATGGCTGCTGGCTGTTGAACTCTGAGCACAGTGTTTGTCTGCGAGCATTTGAGCATTTGTGTTTCTGTAATTCACTTTTCCTTTATATTTTAAATAAAAGTCCAGGGTTCTGGGAAAAAAAAAGTCTATTTATTTTCCAGTGAGTTTTAGGAATGTTTACCTATGCTGTATTCCCTACCTATCCCTGTACACATGCTTGACCCCAGAGATCTATGGAATATGGGTGTCAATAGTACAAACTGACGTTGCTGGAACATGTGTTTAATTTGTATTATGTTAGCTCTTTTTTTCTGAATGGAGACTGGTTTTGCTTAACAGTTAGCCATTACTATGTTTAACAATTTTGATTCTTATTTTTCCACTGACATCAGGACCGTCACCAAATCTTGTTTCCCTCCTCATATTCCAGCTTCTCTACCTGAAGATGACATTCCCTTCCCACTTCCCTCGTATTTCCCTCCCTTCCAGTTTAACCAAAACAGGGCATATTTTTCTATTGATTTAACCTTTCAGTAGCCTTACTTCATCCATAGAAAATTTTAACCTTTTACTCCAAAAGATGCCTTCATTCTCCCTCATCCCATTGACACAGAGCCCCACAATGACCCCATTGACTTCTGAATTCCCCATTACTTTCCTCAAGTTTCTCACGCTTCCAGTTTGACTGTGGCCTTTCTCTCTCTGAATCACTTTGTATTGTGTACTTTCTTCTGTGCTTTTCCTTACCAAAGGGATTGCCTTGTCTTACAAGGCAAGCATCCTACATTTCCTTACATTTTCTCATATTGTATTTGCTCACGCCTTTTAGATTGTGAACTCTGTTGAGCTCGGTTTCCATTCTTTGCTTAGTACAATTAATCTCTTATAAAGCTCTGTATATACCCAGGGTGCTAGTTAAAAATCAAATAATAAATTCATTTACTTTACTTTTTTAAAAGGAAATTACATTCTTATTGAAGCTAAGATGTGTTTTGGAACTACACAAATACTGATTCTAAATTTAAAATCATCCAACCAAGTGCCTAAGGAACATCTAAGAAAGTGATCAAGGTTTAAAATATGAACTAAGATGGTCTTTTTTCCCCCTTGCAAGTATTATATAATTTTTTTTTTAATAGTAAATATGTTATATCTTTGCCTTGTATAGCTACTCTGCACCAAATAAATTTTTTTAGCTTTGTCATGTTGTGCAAGGAAACTCCATTTGACTTCAGCCACACTGTATGGCCTACTGTACAATCCATATTGTTTTAAAATAAGCAGTTCTATAAACTGATAAAAAAGGCAGATCTGAAAATATTTTAAAACTACTGCAGGTTTTTTTGTGCGATGTTCTGAATTTCTATTATTTTGCAGACCTTATCTACAACACTTGAAATCAACACAGTCCTGTTTTGCAATGAAATATAAAATGTAATACAGAAATTGTTCATAGGGAGATTAAAGTCTAGGTTTATCACTCATTAAATGGTATCTTCACAGTCTTTTGTCATATTCAGCTCTGGAATTTGAATTACAAATTAGATGAAGGAATACCTGAGGCAAAAATGCTTGGGCTTCTCAGATCCTGTGGAGATTTGGGAAACATAACCCCTCCTCAGCATAAAGTCTTTATTTGTAAGAACAAGCTTTTGTCCAACATTAAGTGTTTGCTTATTTCCACCTTTAGTTTTTTAAATGAGTGATCAGTAGCACTAGTATGTGTGTGCACAATTTCCTTCATTTCAGTCCATTGGTAAGCAGTTTTGGTTTGCAATACACTGTGCGTACAACTAAAGAGCTGTTTCAGGAAAAATTCTCAGATCCCAATTTTGTATTCTTTAACCACATAAACAGCTAGTAGTATAAAAAAAAGCTGAAGTCAAAGGAATTTGCAAATTTAAAGATTCCAAGTTTGTGCTATACCTGTGCCTTTTGGCTGAATGCTGAAATTTTGCATAACAACTTTAGAAAGTATCCTTAGTGATTGTGTGTATCCTGGGCTGAACTGCCTTCCACAGAAAGCCTCTTCCAAAGAGCGATGCCGAGCAACCTGGGATGAATGACAATCTAGTCTTTCGTTTTCATTGTCAGGTCTGAACTGCTCTCGTTGGAGAGGAAGGTCTCTTTCAATTGGGTTACTCTCAAGGGCTAAGGAAATTTGCGTGGCCAACTAATGAGTCTGGCCATGACGTGGCCTGACACGACCATCCTCCTCACAGATGAGCACTAGCAGAGTGGCTCTCAGCCACACGTGTCCTTGCAGTGGATCATCCCTTAGTGATGATCTGGAGCTAATGAAAAGGGGTAATGCAGAGCATCAGAGACAGAGGTCTTATTTTAGGCTTAACCTCTTACAGCATCAGGAGTGTTTCAAATCTCATGCCTACTTTTTGTAGTACAAAGAATGTACTACTTTTCCTACAGGTAAAATCCAGAACAGCTTGCATTGCTAAATCTGGGAAATAATTCAGTTAATCCAGGTTAATCCATTTCTTCTGTGCAAAGAGTTTTTAAAAGTTTTCTAGAGAAATTTATACATTCCTCCAAGGAAAAAAACAATGCCTGGGACTGCAAGGGACAAATGCAGTCTTTTCCCGTGAAGTATCCACCAGTGCAGCCCAGCGTTATCCTGGAGGCAGTGCCAAGCTTAATGTGCAATTGGAGTTGTATTGCTCCAGATTTTGTACCGTCGTGATGAGAGATCTTGGCCGTTGCTAGACTCATTATTGGCATTTTTGCTGGGGAAGACAAGATGGCATGATCAGTTTCCTGTCTAAAAAATGGAGCAAGTTAGCCGCATAAAGAAAAAAAGATTTCATATTTCTGCATGTCTGATTTCTATTCAGCATCAGACTCTTAAGAATGCCTTTGCTCTTCGCTGCAGTAAAGCTTCCAGTGGTTCTGTGGTCATTTTCAGTGTTGTCTATATATATATAAGGTTGCTGGATGGAGTAAGACCTGTCGGTCTCCCAAGTTGTAAGTCAGTTAAATCAAAGGTTTCTGTGTAAGCTAAATCCAAACTGCTTGCCATCCTTTTCTGGTCTGCAGATACCTCAGTTGTTTCTTGCTTAGTCGTCTTAATCACCAACTTCCCCATGAAATGTTGCCATTTCATTACAGAATGATTGCAAACCCAGTGTTTAAGGAGAAAGCAGGAAGAGAAAAACAAAATTCTTGAGATTTGTGTTGGACTTTCTATTCAAATGACTATGTGTGAGGGCTCTGCACAGATTGCTGCATTCGTTTTTATGTTTATTTTTAATCTATTTTTAATTTGTCAGATGTTATGACAGAAATTGCAGTACTTCAGTAATTTTTTGCAAATATGCTGAAGAAATCAGGACTTCTGGTACAATTTAGGTCAATGCCCAACAAGAAACACAGATTCATCAAAAGAATCCTGGCTTCAAAAATTCTCTTTTTTTGGTGTTCTATTTACCAAAGTACAAAATGCAGCTAGAAATATAGCTGCATGGACGAGGTACTGAGAGGCAAACAAGGTAGCTGCTCCCCAGGAGCTTGCTTCTATGCATCCTCTTTCTCTCTGTGAAAGAAGTGTAACTTACTTTGGATTTAAGATCGGGCAAGACTATGGATGTAGTAGCTACCATGGAGTATCCAACACACTGTGTAGCCACCTTCTAGAGTCCCCCATATTTCTTATGGAGCTGTGCCCTTTCACATACATTCTGTTTCCATTTGTTTAATTTTACATGGAGACTCCCGTTGCAAAGTATCAGGAGAAGTCTGCTTAATAAGGTTTTGTCATTTCACACACATGCCCCCATGCACAGTGTGTCTTTATGGTATTTTACTGTTTCTCAGAAGACAAAGGCTTACTGGAGAATTGATTCAGCAATGTATGTAAAAATGTGCTTTAAAATAAGTGTTTGATTCAGTGATTTGCTGAATCAATCCCTTGCTTGTTGCCTTAGAAAATTTTTTGGGGGGATTTTTTCTTCTAACAATATACCTAGTAAAATGTAAAAAGTGCAGTATAAAGGGTCAAAGTGTGGCATTTTTGTCTCCCCTAGAGTATTTTTTTTTGTTCAGCCTAATTTCCACTCTCGTAGTCAATCATTGAATTACTGAATCTTAATCCAAATTATTTCTGATAATATCTCATAATCCTAGACTAGAAGTGATCTTGCTGTACAACCATTTCTGTCTTTCATTTATTATTGATGCTTGTTTTAATTCGAGAGTATTTTTTTCTTTCCTATTATGTTTTTATAACTTTTACTGTGTATCACATTTTTCATAATTAAAATGTCGGGACTTAATAGAACATGTACTGTACAATTTGTTTTATGCTGAATCGATTTTTAATGCTGCAATTAAGCCCTGATCATGGAAGATATTCATGCATTGTGTGCTTTGTTCTCCACAGCTCCGACAGAAGCTCCCTTACATCCTCATCTAGGTAGGTGATTTGTCATTCTTATTACTAAAACTCAGAATCACTAACTTTATTATAATAAACAATCTGTAAGGTCATATGAAACTAGCTCTGGGGAGTTAAAATAAAAATGAGACTCATATAAAATGAATTGAATTATGTCTAATTCTGATTAGTTGTTTTTTCATTGTGATTTTTATTGCTGTCTATTTATTGCCTTCGAGCCCTTACAGTGCGAGTATATCATGCTGCAGAGCTTTTTTTCCTAGCTATGTATTAGAGCATCTGTTTCCATGAGGATCCATAACCCCCAGTGTGGGGGAGCACCGTCACACCGGTGCTGGGTCGCTGGGAGGAAGGTTTTGTCACAGGGGACCTCTGAGGCGCACCCAGGAGCAGGGCTCTGCTGCTCCTGCTCTCCAAGCCGGGCACGGAGCATGCAGCAGAGCTCCAGCCCTGCACCCACCAGCCCGCGTGTTGCCATTTGGTTAGTCTGGGACAGATTCTGGCACCCTTGCTCAGTTTGAATAGCAGGTGACAGTTACTTCATTCATGTAATGGAAGTATTTGTAAAGAAAGGTCTGTTTAACACAAATACAGCTGCCAAAATTTTGGGATTTGGTTTATTTTGGTCATCATACATAAATGACACCGCAAATCTAGGGGGAAAGATGGAGTCCAAAGCTTGCAGACCGATGGTTAGAAACATTTGCATAACAACTCACAGTTTATATTCCTTAAAAGAGCTGGCCTTTACTGCCAGCTCCACTGATAGCAGCAGAGAAATTCCAATGAGCTCATGGATTTTTGCTTATGAGTTATCAGAATGACCCCCATGACTATTAGAAGTGAAGTAGGATATCTCATCCCTCTTTGTGCCAGTGTTTCCAAAATCTCGATTTGGAGGGATTTTTTTCTGCATGTTCAGAACAACCAACAATTTGGAACAAAAGTTCTTAAAACATCTAGTATGTACTTGATGACTGCATCTTTTCACAGCCATCGCTCTTTGGTGATAGATTGGAAGAATTCTTGATTTTATGTGGTACTATGATCCAGAGTAAGCAAAAAAACCTGTAACTGAGAAAACCCTGCTTTTGTAACTAGCATACTCTAAAAAGCTGATTTCCTCATTTTACAATGCATTACTTCAGCTCTCGGTAAGGCAACACTTAGAACGCACCAGATGATTACACTGGATTTTTTTCATATAGTGCTTTCTTTTCTTTGTAGCTGAAATGCACAGTGACAGCATTATCCTACGAGATGACTTTGACTCTTACCATCAGCAAGAATTGAATCCTACCATGTGGTGAGTTTCAGACTTCTGCTTTCCTTTATAAGTATTTGAGCAAATTAAAACATTTTGGTTATTATAGTGAAGTATTTGTATTATATTAATTCCTAGATACCTCAGCTGACATTGGTGTAAGCTTATGTGTGTCTTTGCTCCATTGGGACCTAAATATATTAGTTTCTTAATTAACTGATTAATGAGTGACTGAGAAATTCTAAGCCCATTGAAGTGAATGACAAATTCTCATTGACTTCGAATTTTGAATTAATCCAAAAATAGAAAGGAGTAGAGCTGAGCTCAGTGAAAGTTTTCGTATGAAGATTTTGATTTCTTGAAATCATAGTTTTTCATGGAAAAGGTGATGAATTTCAATAATTAAACTTTGTTTTTTCAATTATTTTTTTTTATTTCATATTCATGTAGTGAACATTTCAGGTGAAGCTAACCATAGTAAAAACTCCTTCTAAACTGAAATCAAACATTTCCAGATCATTCAAAAGAAAAAATTAACTGGAATTAAATACCTCCATCTAATTTTCAGCTGCTGAAAATGTTTAAGGTTTATTTTTTCTTTTTTTGTGGAAGGCAAACTTTTTCAAAACTTTTGTATTGTATAGGAAGGAAAACCCTTCCCTTCCCAGCTCTATACAGCAACTCCCAATTGCTAGGGTTTTTTTGTTCAATGGGATTCCTGAGTAAGGTCATTCATACTATCACAGTCTACACCTGAAACAGCAAGCACAGGTTGTTATAATTCTTTAACCAGTAGATGCTGTGCGAGAATCTCGGGACTCCACGTGCATAACAAAGCAAGTACAATTTAGGACAGGTCAGGCAGAAGCTTTATTAACTATGATCATAGTGAGAGAGCACTGGGACAGCGTCTCCCCTCCGCTCCCCCTTCTCTGCCAAGTGATTGCAGAGACCCCACCCGTACACTGCTTCAGAAAACAAGGAAAGAGGTGAGGAAAAACAATCATTTCAATGTTAATAAAGCCAAGAATCCATCCCTGGGAGGGATGAACTCCTTAAGTTGCTGCCACAGTTCTAAGGACTCCAACAGTAAATAACAGGAGAATACGGAGAGATGGCTGTTGGCGGAGCCTATAGGAGTGGCACAGGCAGTGGTATCTTGGCTCAGAAGTGGCGAGTTGGAAACAATTGCAGACTGTTAGCTTTTAGTCAAAAGGAATGTTCTTTTGGCAAAGATAACCCTTAGGCTGACCTCTCAATCTTAAATATTAATAATTTTACCGCCACAATGATCACAGTGATAGAGTACCATTTCATATGATTTATGTATGTACATCACAAAAGAGGAAGTTATAGGTCTCATATAGGACAAAACTGATTCTATTCTGTATAGTGAATATTTCTACTGGCCGTACTATACCCAGATAAACACATCTATTGGTCTTAACATGAAGTTTTGAAGGTTGGAGTCTCCTTTTTTTATATGAGATTGTTACTGAGTTTTCTATTCTTTCCAATCCTCTTTCATAAATATAACTTATTTTATTGGTTTAATTCATACAAGACACAGAAATATTTTACTAGCTTAGTTTCGCTTGTTCAAATAAATTCTTCACGGGCATTTTAGCAGTTACCTTCATTTGTTAGTTAGGAATACATATGTTCTGTGAAATCTGACTTCATTTTCCTTTTTATTAAGGCCTGTCACAGTTTTCCATCTGTGCAGGTCTTTCACAGTTTCACCATCTTATGTAAAAAGTTTGTGGGTTTTGGAATTTTATGGATATTTTTCTTTTGCACATACTTATTGTAATACTTTTTAATATGTGCCTACTATTTTTCCTCCTTTTGTTCCTTTTGTAACATCTCTTTAAATGTTTTTCTGGACAGATGCATTAAGGACTGGGATAATATAATATTAAAAAAAACCCTTTCTTTACGTGAATGAATAGATCAAGGACTCTTAATGGGTTACAGAATAGCTGCCAAGGTAGATAGCTTTAGCAGCAGTGTGTTAAATGGACTTGAGTGGAAAGAAATGAGAGGAGGCATTATTTCCCTGCAGATGTCTCATAACTCACAGAGGGCCTGTTGGGAGCCTCCGTAATTTATTTATCCATTGCTCTCTTATCTTTAAATTCATCCTTGCTTTATAGAAGTCTCAACAGAGAAATCTCAGACTAAAAGAGCCCCCAATCTCCTGCTTCTTTTGTCCCCAAGATTTGGATTTGGTCCCCCTGGAATAACCTTGACCCACCTTGGTTGGTGGGTCAGTGCAGAGAGGTGTGTGCTGGGAGAGAGTGTCCCAAAACTCACCCCAATACTGAGACAGATTTTCCTGTAATACCACCAGAAAGCCAACACCTTCAGCAACTCTAAATAGAGTGGAGCACAAAGAAAACTGTAATGAGGTGTCATGAGCTTTTCTGCATAAAGGATTCCTGCAGGAGCTCTGCCTCCAGTGAAGACCCGCTTAGTGGCAGAAAGCTCATTCTCATTTGGTTGTCTAGTGGGACTTAAATCAGGGATTATTAACAGTTTATGCCATCCACCCTAAAATTGCCTTTTTTCCCTTGGCAGCTGCTAAAATCCCATCTTTACCACAAACAATTGCAGTAACTGCTGGAGCAGTATTTCCAGCCCTGCTCGGTCCCTGGTCTGCTGTGCTCGGAGTGTGCGGTACCAGCTGCCTTGTGTGCACCGATACTCCAGCAGTGCCGTCTCACCAGGGGCCAGTTAGACTAAGCCACTCTAATAATTTCCGAAACCATTATTTGTGTGAAGATGAAAAGAGAAGTGTTTGTATTTTCCTATGATCTTTTCTTCCCAAATCCTACAAAACATGTGATGTGATTAATATTGTCCCACTCCTCCTGATCCCCCTTCTGGCATGTGTAGCTCTGGCAGAGACGTACAGTCCAAGTGCACAAGCAAAGCGTTTTATAGCTTCTCTGTGTGTCTAATTTTATGAGTCCCAGCAGAGCCTGTGTGTCTCTCCATCGCTGGGAGAGGCCTCACATCAAATAACTATTTTGCACAAGGGCACTGTATGATTTCGAGAGTGACTGTCTGTTTTTTTATGGATTTCTGCTCTTTCAAATGCATTAAAAGACACATCCTACCCAGCAACCATCTGTTTCTTCGGAGGCTCAGGAGCAGGGAAGGAGCGGCTACGAGTGTTTCTGGAGCTGCAAGGGGAGGAGAAAGGGAAGATTGGGATGGGGCTCTTTGTAAACAGAAAAATCACAGCATCTGGGAATGGGTTCCTGACCTAAACCACAGTTTGGTGATTGAAAGAAAACAGAGGAAACTGCTGAAGTGGGAAAGGACAAGGAGGGGAGGAGGCAGCAGGAGAAGACACATAAGGAGAAGGAAGCAGGGAGGATTTCTGTGCTGGGAATGCAGGAATGGGAGCATGTCTCATCTCTCTCATTTTCTAGGGACTCAACCACCATGAGGTTTTTCTTGTGTGGTGTGTCCAACTAATTTTTATATTCTTTTTTTCCAGCGTGCAATCATGTCAGAACATGATTATTTCCAAAGTCCCCAACTAGTAGGCACAAGCCTGCTTACTTCAGCAAAGATTTCCTCATTTCTTGGGTCTCATTTGCCACCAACTTTACAAAGATCTCTTTGGCTTGTGAAAAAAACATGCTTCACACATTCATAAATGTCCAATGTATTTTATGTCTAACATGTATTAGCTGTGGAAGTTCAGGTAAGTAAGTAAGTGACTCCCGCTCCATGGCAAACATAGCGCCAACGGCCATGCTAAGCGGTTCACAGCTGACTTGCGGAACTAATTAGACAGTAATGTTTAGTGCATTTTTCAATGACAAGTCTAATAGTGCAGGTGATTGGTGGTCCACGAGACTTGCGGAAAACTGGCAAGAGTGTGTTAGTTCAGAAAGCTCAGGAATCATGGAAGTAATTGATTTCCTCTGCAGGGAAAGGGAATCTACGCCATGTACTACTTGCCAGGGAGGGGCCAGGGAACAGCTGGATGAGAAGAGGTCCAGTATGGGTGGTATCTGGAAGACTGTCTAGGTCATTGAGCACCTGTTTCTGTGACCATCTTGCCTCCATGTAACCTCATAAAATTGCAGAGGGGAGTATAAAAAAGGTGCTGTATAAGAACTAAAACAGGCCAAACAAGAACAAATCTAGAAAAAATATTCTGTTTAATCCTATGATAAATTATTTAATGTTGAGACAAAAACAGGGGAAAAAGAAGATGCATAAATTAGTAAAGAAGAGATGCTGGCATTAATGTATGTTTCTGTATAAAATACTTATTTTTAACAGTAGACAACAGGGGATTCAGTACATTTAAAAAAGAAAGGCTCTGTACAGAAGCTTATTGCTGGCTAAACTCTCCTTCCCAACTTGATGCCATGTTTCATCCCTAAAGCCTATCAGCACTCCAAACAGCAATCACTTAGAGAAGACACACTCTTCAAAGATGACATGAAGAAAAGCTGAGCATGCAAAATCAGTCAATAAGAAACAGGTTCCATCACTTCTTCATGGCATATGAGAAATGAGGAGGTACAGTGATATTTCCAGTGGCAAAGAGGTGGAGAAAAGCTTTGTGACAGGAGAGACAAGTCCTAAAGTGGTTTCCAAATTGCACTAAAACTGCGGGATTAAACTTCGGAAAGATTTATGTTTAAAAATCTCTTGGCAGCTTGAGATGTTTATCTTCTTTATAGTCCAGACATCACAAAAGACATCAGTCAATATAATGTCCACAAACTCAGGTATTGTAGAGGGAAACGAGATGACAAATAGGGATGAGGAAACAGCAGATGTTTCCCCTTCAGCAAAGTGAAGAACAATAGCAGAGGGAGGTGGGACTCTCTAAGCCAGAGATGAGAGCGATGGCAGGTCTGCAGAGAAGACACCTAGATGAATATGACACACGTCAACAGTGGCAGCGAGTACCAGCTGTGAAGAGAAAGCTGAAGAGATTTTAGCGTGCTAAGATTTTAGACCAGGCAGGTGAGAAAGATAATGTAAAAAGCTGCACTCAGCCAGGGCAATTAATACTGTCTCTTATTTGTATAAATGGAAAAGAAATTAACTTTCCTGTCTGCACCAGGAAAGGAGCAAATTGGATCGTTCCTAAACACGTAATACTATGACAATGATCTGAGGAATAACAGATCAATTATCTTACTCTTCATGCATTCCTGTCAAGCTAGTGAGCAATTTATTGTCAGATGTAATGCATTTCAAAGAAAGCACAAAGGTTTGAATCAGGATTACCAACAGCCATCCAATTTCTTATGAGAGGAGTCATCCTAGAAAAGACGAGCGATGATGAAACAGCGGTATTAGAAGGACAATGTTTCTGGATTTCCAGACAGTATTTCATAGACCACATTACAGAAGTAGAATAGATGAACAGCTAAATCACTTTGTTTTCATTGAAATACGAGAATTACAAAATTAAAATATCCCTTGGATTATGTAGCCTGACCTTTCACGAGGGACTAAGTGGTCCCTACGTGGTATTCATAGGCAAAGTTTTCCTGCTGTATCTGTCTCTCCCTGCACATATCAGGAGTTCAGGCAGATGCTCCACTATAAAACTCCAAAATGTAGGGGCAGATAATGAAAATAATGCTCATAAATAGCCAGAAACCTACAGGATTTCAGGTATTCATCTAGTTCCTGTCCCTCTGTTGTTCAGTTATCAGGGTTTAGGGATCAAGTGAAATTTAGATAGCGACAAAACATGTCCTCTGTGAACTCTGTTTCTGTGCTTTTTCTTAAGGTACAGTTTCGTTCACTCACACGCTCTCTTCTTGCCTTATATTGAGAAATAAAATTATGGGCCGACTGCGGCTTCTATAAGTAAATATTAACTCACTGAAGTCAATAAGAACTACCTTACTTTATTAGAGGATTTAATTTTGCTGCTTAAATTCAAAATCCTAAATGCTATCAGTGTGAATTGCTGAACGACTTTATTGACATGTTCATACAGGAAAAAAACTCAAGGATTTTTTACGTCTGACTTTGTTTCGGGAAGCGGAGCTGAAACTGACCTTTAATAAAATCTCAGAATAAGGGAGAGATTTGGAAAGTGGGAACAAGGCATTCATCTTTGACTTTTGTAATGGACTAGGGCATAAGAAAGCCAGTCCTGTGCTAAATTCACCCAAGACCAACTGAAGAGACCCAAAATAACAAGTCCAATCAATTATTCACCACACCTATGCATCTGAAAACCTAGCACTCAGCAGAGCTCAGCACTCACAGACCCGCAGGCTATTGTGCAGGGTACTGTGTGCCGCCCAGAGTTAACCCATTCTGCCCGAAGTTACCCAGACTTTGCTGCCCTGGGAGGCCAGGGGAGTGGTGAGGAGCCCCAGACTGCTGCGGGAGCAGACCAGGAGGTAGCTCCATTTAGTTAAACACGTACTTTAAAAATTAATTTAAACTTTATTTCTAATCACTACCTGGGTTCGCAGCAGCCCATCCTCCCTTGCTCAGAACTTTTGGATGCATGGCCCCTGCAGGGAAAAGCCCCCTGGGGGAGCTACCAGCCTCTTCCTCGCAACGCAGCTGGAGATTTCATTTGCCCTGTCCAGGACCATGGTGGGCTGATGGTTTTCAGATACTCAGGAACAGAAAAATCCTGCTCCAAGCAGTTTACAGGAAGACTTGCAGATGTTTAACACAACACCTACTAATGAAAAGACAAACAAGCAACATAAATTAGGAAAAGAGGTGAAAAAAACCCATGGAAATTTGTATAGGAATCAAGTATACATTGATAGTATGTATCAATTATCTGAGATCAACTACAATCATTGAAAACTCTATCATATATGTTGACAGCAAGTCCCTATCTCCTTGGGATTACTTCCTTTCCATCCGATTTCCTGTAAGATCTGCCATCTAGAAATTAGCTGGAGAATGAAAAGACAGAAGAAAACCAAACCTTTGCACGCTACTACATCTGGGCCGTGTGTATGGGAATGTGTATTTTGGTGACATTATACATCAGAAAGGGTGGCCAAGTCTGAGGCCCTCTGTGTGAGAGAAGCCAAAGACGAAAACTGCCTAAACACCCCTTACATAAGTCCATTGCACTTAAAACTCTAAAAATACCAGTTATCAAAGCACATTCAAAAATCAGCAAGAAATAAGGTTTGGAGTGAGGTCACCCTTGCCTACAATGGAGTTGCTGCAGGAGGAAATGTTTGCCTGTAGGTTTGGTGTTGGATGCCTGAAGGCAATGTTGGTCAGCCCCCTCGCAGGCAGTTTGTCAGGGGTTGGGAGCATCTCCAAAATATTTGGAAAATCTGCTGCTCATGCCCAGAGCCGATACCCTGATCCTCGAAGGTGAGGGAGAGGGCCCTTTCCCTCTGCTCTGCAGTCAGGCTGCCCACAAAGTCCTTCATATTAAATTAAGAAACATCGGGAGAGGTGCAGTTAGTTGGCTCAGCAGCCCTTACCAGCCTCTCTGAGATTTTCTTCCTACTTCTTCCCCTAAAAAGTGAACAGAGCGGCAACCCTCTGTTACTAGCAATATGGGATATGACAAATACAAATAGAGAGCAGCAGCAAGACCCGTGTTACAGCAGCTGGGCTGTAGGAGCCTCTTGGTGCCCAGTGGCAGGTAGGGTCTTACTTCGGGGTAAATAACCGTGGGCTGGAGAGGGGCTGATCCTAACCCCTTCTCCTGAGCTGTTCTGTACGGTAACTCCACGATGGTGGGTTTACATACAGTTTATCAAATGTGCAGTAGGGATTTTGGAAGAAGAGTAACTTCAGAGTAAGTTATACGTGTAAGAGTTCAGCTTGGTTTCCCATGGTGTGATGTTTTGCAGTTGACGAGCAGGGACATTCCTTTTTGTGGAGGACAGAGTGCAGAGAGCAAGTACTTATTCGCAAGGGACTTTTTCCAGAGGCAGCCCTAGTGCATCATACGTACAGTTGCTCTTTACGTTCAGCACCATGATAACAAAACACCCAATCTGTCTGAGTGCCAAGATATAGTGGTCTTATTTTACAGTTTACAAGCCTGATGCAGTCTCAAACATACAGTTTCTGATTTCCATTTTGAATATGGTGTGTTCTTCCTGCAGGTCTGAATGCAGTAACTGCGAGGTTGGAAAGCAGTGCGGTGTGATAATGCACGGCAGCGCCGTCACTTTCTGTGAGCCATATGGTCCCAGAGAACTGGTAAGTGAAGGCTGGCTCATCTGCCAGGGCTGGGACTGCAGGCTATGGATTGAGGCTGACTCGGCTGCAGAGGTGTTGATGTGCTTTGAAAGTTTGGTGTTCAGCAGAGAGGCTCTTAAGCAGGGCGATAGGACCATAGAAGAGCACCCCAGGAACATCCCAGTGTTTTAAACTGTAGATGCTAACCAAAGGTTATTGCAATCATTTGCAAGGGGAAGTCCCTTGATCCAATGTGCATCCAAGTTATTTGAAGTATCTATAAAAGACTGGAAAGGCAAGGAAATAGAACTGTGTTGTCAAACTGGCATCATTCTCTTTTTATTTCTGACAATGAAAAAAAGACAAGGTTAATTTTCCTTCTCTTATTTTATTAGCTGTGTCCCATTTTTTCTTGTCGCTGTTGACAAATGTTAATTTGGTTGTAAAACATCACTTGTGAACAATGCATCTTACAGACTTAAATGCAGCCTGGAGCAAGCACCTGCCAGTCTCAGGAAAGTGTATGTAACACACTGAGTCATGGCGAAGGTGACAGAATTCATTTCATTTGGGGGTAGTTTGGTCATAAAATTGCTGTAAGAAACAACATGGTGCAATTTGCGTTAACTTGGGATCATCTGGGTGTGGAAAATGAATTGAAAGATATATACCCAATGCCCACAAGCTGATGCTGGCCAGCTAGCTGCAACAAAATAAAATGGGAGTTTTGGAAAGAACTGTAAAATTAAAAGACCAACTCAAAGCCTGTGTAATTCAAAATTAATTTTCATGTTTTCAATAGTCTTCTGAGTGGAGGGAGAGGCTGATTAGATCTATTTGAAGAGCCTACATGGAAGAAAGCCATAAACCAGAAGTGGTTTTGGCCAGGCATCTTCTCTTCATTTCGGACACCCTTAATTTAAGGGTTAATTTTACATCCTTAACGGAGATCGGAATTCCACAAACGCAACGTAGATATTGCTGGTGTGGTGACTGAAAGTCGTAAACACATATGAAACTAATTCAGAAGTTTTACAGATAAAAGAGAATTTCAGTCATTTCCCTCCAGCCGGGGAATCCTGACAGGGATGCTAAATTGCCTCTCTGCTACTTTGAATCCTATTTGAATGTACTATGCTTCATTAACTGCCTTGAGAAGAGATGTTTTATTTTATGTCCTGTGCAAAAATGAAGTCACACCACTGGGATATTTTTCCCAATTTTTAAATCATTTTTAGTTGCAGTATTGAGCATAGGTAACACTCCTTGAAAAATAATCTATTTATGACATTTAGCAAACCCAGGGTCCCAGCTATGAGGGTTTTGAAACGTCGTTAATTAGCTGTCTTTTCCCTGCTGATATGTAATTTAGACTACCCTTAGTAATCATGAATTGGCTTCAAAATGCGGTGTTGGACTGTATTTGTCGTATTACCATGTGGCAAAATAGCACTACCATGGCATCAGGAACTTGGAAAAATTTATTATGATGCCAAAGTGGTGTGATTAAATAATCAGCTGAAAAAATCATCATGCTTATAAACAGTTAGCAGCCTAATAATGAAAGTGTTTATAAATATTATGGCAGCGTTGCAGAAAAATCAAATCTTTCTGAAGGAACATGCTAATGGCTTAACGTTTTGGATGAGCACAGGATGGTGTTCGTGCCAGAGGTCTGACCTAGTTTTATTTTTGAATATGGACATAGGTTTAAATCCCTATTTTCTGAGAACCAACCTGTTTTTGATTTGTAGTCATGTTTTGGCAATTTTACAACATATCTCTTCCTGTCACAAATTTTAAAACCTGTTTCATTTCTCCAATCATTATGCATTTTTATTCTATCACCTTTACTATTTGAATCCTATTCTGTCCCTGCTTGAAATGGCTCTTGAAATCTCTGTTCCTGTTCATGGCTCCTAGTGCCACATTACTGCTTTAAAATACTTAGCCAAGAAGAGTTGAATTTGCAAAATGTATTCTATCAACAGCTGTGACAGCTGCTGGTTTGCTTCCTTGACCTCCCTCTCTTCTCCTGCCTCCCCGCAGCTGCCTGTTACTGCAAGCAGAGGGTTTTTTAATGCCGACTGTCTATGTCTATTGGCGAGAATTTACCACTGGCAAAATCCTGGAAAGATGTATAGTGTCAGAGATGTTGCAAGCAAAGGAAAATAGCTCCTAAAGGCTCCCTACCAGCCCCTCTGCAGCATCTGAACTTAGTAGTCCTTTGCAGAACTTCGCAAAAAGTTTTTAGTATGTCTGACGCTTTTTTCTAAAGCGTTACTGAAATGACTTACAACATAGTCTATTTTAAGTCTACGTGAATGCCTCTTCTGTGATAACTGATACATTTAATTTCTTGGTGATATGGGCCACTGAACATTGATAAAGGGTTTCATTTTCAAATGAGAGCTTGCACAACATAATTAATTGAATGTAAACTAATATAACAGGTACTCATAACTCAAGTCAGAAAGCACTTTATTATTTGGCATGATAAATGTGATACCTAATACTGAATTGATCCTGATAGAATGGACTTAAATGGGGATGTGACTGTATTTTTGAAGGAGTTATGCAAATGCAGCTTCCCTATTTTTGTTTAAAGATTAAAATTACCTGTTAGGAATAGAGAGGAAAACTGTATTGTAAGTAAACATTATGTAGAGATAGTGCCAAATCTTTAGGTAGTTTTAAAATTTGCTGTTTGAGATGATCGTGAATCCTTGGGAATCTGTCCCACTGAATCTGTCTTAGTTCACAGAACATTAATAGCTGTGATCAATTTCCTAAATTTTCATGCACCTTTCTAAAGCACATGTAGTCTTGTTATCAGCTAATCTTCAGTGCACTTCAGTGAAGATCCGATTCTTTAATATTTATAAGAAGTTCCTCTCCGTGTGTAATATGTATGTAGAAAAGAAACAAAACACACCAAAAATTCATGCCAACTCATGCAGGTCTCCATCCGTTATTTTCAAAGGCCTCATTTCACGAATACCTCAACTTGGTGCACACTGGCACTGGAAGAAGTCCAGTCCCTTTTGGTCTTCTACACCATTGCCTGTTCCCTCCTGCCAGGGGAGAGATGCTATCCATACGAGCATTGGTGGGCTGCGTGGCGAACCACACCAGAAAATGGATCCACATTAAAACTAACTTGCAAAGGAAAAAGACTAATAGTTTAACAGAAGTCAGCTATTGGAGCTGATTTAACATGCAGCTACCCAAAAGCTGATGTTCATATACGGAAGGGATTGGAGGGAGCTATCACCTAGGAGTTTGTTAATCATATACTTTTGCATATATATACACATTCTGAATATACATTTGCAAAGATATGGAAATTCTTTTGAAAGTCTCCAAAGACAGAAAAGCCAATACAGGTGACTGAGAGATAACATTTGTCCTGTGTCAATGGAATCCTAAATAACAGTCAGAAAACATCTGCATTTAGGACTAGCTTTTGTTCACTGTCATGCAGTGATGCACAGGGTAATAAGGGACTTCAGACATGAGAGAGCTCTTTCTCACCAGTTTTCATGTTTACCTGCATAGTAGATAATTAAAGAGTGCAGGAATACCTGATAATGGAAAAATCTCTGCTTTCACCATGTGATTCAGGGAAATTATGCAGAAATTGTATTGTTCATCATTACAAAATACTGATAAAATTGCCTTTGTAATACTGCCATAGTTAATGGGTGCCTGAAAGAATGTATCATCTTCCAAGTCATTGAGTCTAATCTTTACTTGGGTGCTGGCTTTTTAGTAAATGACAGTTTAGTGTCCATGAGCTCAAATGTTTATCTATATTTTGCTGATTACCACTTTTTTTCATTCTTATCTACTATTCGGTTTCCTCTACATCACTCGTATAAGCAAAGCAGGAGGATCATTTAAGTCCACCTCCGCTTGGAGCTGCCTTCATGCAGATTCCCAGCTGAGCTCTGGTAGCCAAAGCCTGCTAGCCCCAGAACCTTACTTCTGGGGCTGAATTTGCTCAGAAGTTTGACTTCTCTGTGGCATATCCACGATATTACATGGTGCATGGATGCAGATCGCAAGGAGCACATCCAATGGAAGAGTCTGTTGCTGCTGTCACAGGAAATGACATGAATTATTGGTGCGTAGGGTCTGACATGGGAGGACAACTCCAAGGTCTTGAAATCTAGGATGCAGGCATCACTGGCAACAATATCAGATGAATTTATTTAAGGTGTTCGCTGTCCCTGTTCTTCCAATTAGATTACTTCTTTTATGATTGTGTAAACTTACTGTCTGGCCAGGTCATGCCTTTTTTCCTTTTCTCTTTTGATCTAACATTGCCATTGTCTTTCAGCTTGTACATTTTTCCTTCTTCAATGTAGCCTCTAAAATCTGCTTATAGTGATAAATTATATCTTTGTTGGGTCTTTTGCTAAAGTGAATGAACCAAACTTTGAGTCTCCTCTTTTTGGGTGATCCTCCATTTGGCCTTTCTGCTTGCTGAACAGTTGCAATGATTTTTCAGCTCTGACAAAATAACTAGATCAGGCAGTGTTTTTAGGCAGTGCTTCTGCCTTGCTTGTTATGTAGCAGTATCGTTAAGTCCAACTTTCAGAATGAATTGAAAATAAATAGGTATCCTTCACAGCACTCTAGTGCTTTTTATCTTATAGTATTTTCAGGACAATAGTCCTAATCTAAACTACTGAAATATGGGGGCATTGAAAGAAGGGAGGAAGAAAGGCATCAAAGGACGGTGGTGTGCTAAATACAGAGCGAGCTACTAGGTGTTTTCTGCCTGTTTCTAGGTCTTGGTTGGATGTCAACGGTGTGTAGATGCTACTACAAAATTTCATTGTATATATTATGTAGTATCACCAAAGTTTTGTTTGATTTGCTGTTGAAGACTTAGATTTCGTTATTCCCTCTTAATATTTCATTTTATTATTTTAGGTTTACTTAATGTTATTTTTATTATTTATTTATGATCATTTTTGGTTCTTGTTCTGTGCTGGGAGAAGTAAATGAAAACCATTCTGTACATACAGATTTATACTAAGCTGACCATAGACCACAGGGTTCACTTTTTCAATCTTCTAAACACTGGTCAAGCGCCAGTGTTTCACATAAATGTGCTCAGTTTGTAGACATTAATACAGTAAAAGAAAAAACATTCCAGCCTTGACATATGATGAGATATTACTAATCAAAATGACATAACAGAAATGTTCATGATCACTCAACCTGAAAAGGTTGGCGATTAATAGTTTTATGCACTGGAGTTCTAGGTATCTAGAGAGTTTCCTTGCTTTCAAAGAAAAACAAGAGATGAATGTATTGTTTTGCTGATCTAATGCAACCTCTCTGCTGTTTGCTTTTCTTCCTGTAGACCACCACTGGCCTTAACACAACTACTGCATCCGTCCTTCAATTTTCCCTTGGTAAGTTTAGCTCACTCTTTCACCTGAGAAAGTGTAAAAAATCATTGCCGCAAAGGAAAAACTGCCCTCGAGTTCAGGTTTAGCTTTCTGGTCGATGTTCCACTCAACATGAGGGATTAAAAAAATCTGTTAAAAACCGCAGCACATTTATTCATCGTCTTGTCTAAAGCTCCTAATCTAGACTTTGGAAAAGAGCAACTCCAGTGGATGCTCTGATGATGGGAGGCATAGTCATGTTTGGGTGTTGGGTTTTTTCACTTATTTTATAACCTGATGGATAACATTATAATCTCTTACTCTTTCTCTGAAGTGTGATTACCATTTCTAAAAAATGAAATTTTTTAATATTTTAAACCCTTGATGTATTCCAAGTTACAGCTGGGTAGTGCTGTTTTTAACACATCTGGGCAAAGAGAATAAGTAGGGCAGACCAAAACTACATGCTATTTAGTTCATATATCAACAGCGTGGTTGTGTACTGTATTACTTAGAATACCAGCTGTAAGTTATTGCACATTTTCACTGTGTAGTTGTGGCTATAAATTATGGCAGAAGTTGTGGCTTGGGCTGAGAGCAAACTGGGAACACACTTAATTTGTTAACTCATATCTCAGTGTTCAAAATGTGAAGGAAAAATGTTTTTATGATACAAGTGGTTCAATAAAAAGCAAGCAGGAATTGTAGCCTGCTTCCTCTGTGGACCCCTGGATACGTGTTTCTAAATCATATTCCTATTTTTAAAAAAGCAATTCTGCAAAAGTATCTCAGCAGAGGTGTGATTAAAGTCTGGAAATCTCAGCTGGAAATAAGAGCTACCAGGTAGCTTGGCAAGCAGCTTGGGTTTTTTAATGGATCGGAAATTAAAATCCTGGAAGGCTCAGAAATACATCATTTAAATTTGTTTTTACCTGAAGTTGTTCATTTGACTGTTTGAGGTCATCATTACCTGTCACCCTGCAATTGACTGCAATGTTAATAGTTCTAAGGATTGGTATCTACCCTTTTATTTTGAACTACTGTTTTTAAAAAGCCAGCAAAATATATCCATTCCTAAACTGAATTATTGCCTAAGTATTGGGCACCTCCAGCGAAAACCAGCCTGGAGCAACCCTGCAGTTTCATTCAGCCAGTGAAAGGGGAACAGCTCACTTGATCTGCTAGGACGTGTCACTTGCCCGCAGAAGCCCTCCCACCCTTGGCTGTGCCTGAGGATAGGTGACTTCTATAATGCTGCAAGTTTGCGATGATGGAGGAATTTTGCTTTTCAGGAAAATTTACAAAAATCTTGTGTGGATTATTCTCACAGTGACCCAGAGTGGTTAACAGCCATATAACCTGAATGGGTTGGTAGGTAGACATTTGCTGTCACAGCTCGGTGGCTGGTGTCTGCTGCAGGTCAAGTGCGGAAGGGTGCAGGCTCCCAGAAGTTTCAAAATTAGACTTAAGATTTCACTAATAGCCTTTGTTCCTATCAGCTGGGGAAGGTCAAATAAAAAAAGGGTAAGAACAGGCTGAGAAGGAAATACCCTACATGACAGGATTGTCATGAATATATGGTGAGAATACGTTAACCTGTACCAGTAGGAACCAGTAAAATCCCCAGTATGATGGAGCAGGAGAGGGGTGGATGCACACCTGAGTAAATCAAATTTCAGCCTGAAGTTCAAAATGTGTCACATTTCCCCATGTGCCTATGTTAGGTTTGAAATACAGTGCAGATTGGTTTTGCAACTGATAAAAAGCAGCGTGAGCCAGGGGACTGCTGCTGAGCTCAGCGGTACTTGGCTTTCAAATCATAAATCTAAACTAGGCATTTGCCAGTTTCCAGCTTATTCCCAAATGTCCGATTTAATCATAACTCTATTTAGGGATTCATCCAAGGGAATTGCCTTTTTTTAAAGAATGTTTAACACTTTCTATCGACCGCGGAAAAGCTTAAGCTGTAATCTTCTGGGGATATCTTTATATTAAATTTGTCACCTAGCCTTGGCCACATTAAAGTGCATACCCTTTGATTTCTCTCATCATTAATTATAAGATGGAATTTTGTATTTGCAGGTATATAAGTAGATGACGACTGGGAAATGAAGCAAAAAAATGGTTCTGATTTCACCATAAATCCCAGATCCTTTTAAACTGTGTGGTCAGTTTAAATTCACCCTAGTGAATTTTTCGTTGATACTCTGTGTAGTTTCCCTCATGTACCACCTATTTGGTAGTCTTGCCCTTGAAAGGGCAAAGGCGTTGAAAAGGAGCACTTAAGATGAAGGCTCAATTAGGATGAAAAGGTAATTAGTAAGGCCTATTCAGCACATAGGACAACATTAATGGGCAGTATCCTTTCCGAGTGAGAGCAACTTGTCTGCCACACAGCAGTCACTCGGAGCCACCTGGAGCTGGTGGCGTTGCCTTTTGATCCAGAGCTGGGGTGATGTTTACATTCATGAGCCCTCTGCCCAAGTGTGCAGAAAATTTCAATTACTTTGGATGTCTTAATCATCCCTGACTACATTTCTCCAAGACCAAACACTGACATGTGAAAGACAAAGTCTAGCAGTTTCCTTAATGTTCAGTGGGATTGTTAATTGAGATATTTAAAGCAGCGCCTTTGGGGTCTCTCAGGCCAGAACATCTAATTCAACAGCATGGGATTGCAGGATATTGCACAAAAGCCTCCGGACTCAGCTGCCACACAGTGTTAGTCTGATTCATTAGCTGAAATATTCTCTGTTTCTCACTCCAAAGCTCAGGCTTTTCCCCTTAGCTACATCCCTGAACTTCTCCAGGGATGAACAGAATCTGTCATTCGCGTAGGCCACTATGATGGAAGGTGATTCATAGAGACTGAGAGATTAGCAACTGAGCTGAGCACAGGAAGAAAGAGACCCGTGAAATCCTGTAAGGAGAAGAGGAAAGGCTTTAAGGGAGGGATGCCAAGGCGTGAGGTGTGCAAGCGGTTCTGCTCATGCGTTGTTCCATGGGTGTCCTCTTCAAGCATATGCTCCCGCGGCTGTGGTGTATGTGGGCTGTGCATGCTCTGCGTGGGGTGTTCAGCACTGGCAGGCTCTTTCCATCCCTCCTTCCTCCGCAGTGCCTCTGAGTCAAACACCAAGCTGAAGCCGAAGGCGCTGTGATCAGTTCCAACACTCAGCCTGGCCTCCCGGGCGGGTGCTTCTCAGAGCGGTGTATGTCACAACGTGAAAATTGTTAATGGAAAATATTACATTACCTTGAAAAACTTTGTTCCATCGCCCTCTCCTTACGTCTTAGTATTGCTAGATCACTTTTGGCTGTTAAACAATATTTGAAAATGGGAATAACTTGACAAGGAAAGCTCCCACTCTTCAGCTTTGTTGTGTAAAACTCTCGAACACTGCTCTGAGAACAGGATGACTTTGACAGTATCATGTACTGGGTAAATACAAAACGATTGTGAGGCAGGATCCTACTTTAAAATTGCTTTCCCTTCAACTTTTATGCCATTATCACAAAGATCCTCTGTCATTACCAGAACAAATTAGCAATTCTCCCTCCCTCCCCCTCATTTTCTAAAAAAATCTAAACCCCCTACTATTTTATATTATATCAAAATTGATTTTGGGGGAAGGGCTTTCTTTTAAGTTAAAAAATATCTTCTGAAATGGAATATGTCTTCAAACATTTCAAACATTTGGCACTTCAGCTGCATTTTTTAAAGATCAGGCCATCAGTCTTGCAAACAAAGAACTAGCCAAAGGTCCAAAAGTTTTTTTGCTTTATTTGGAGAAAAAGCTTGGGCTTGGACTCTCCCTTCCACAAAATCATGGTAAAGAACTTTTGGGAAAGTTCGGTTCCCAAATCTAACAGATTTTACTTCGGGCCAATTATTAATCCCTACTTTCAGTCAACCCCAAAACTGCCTTTCTAGACAAATATGTGATTTACAATTTTTTCAATTTTCTTCTAATCATAAACCTTTTTTTCCTAATTTATTTTAGCTGAGTTATGGTCATTTCATATGTGTAGCATTGGCTTTGGTTTCATGCAAAAGAGAATTTGAAATGAAATGCAAAAGGTGCCACTTAATATGGTACCAAAGCAAAAAAATAATTTGCATGAACCCCTAAGAATGAAACCTCTCAGCAGCTCGCTGTTATCAGTTCTGGGCACTGCTGTCTGATACACAGGAACAGCGCATTTTGACAGGGATGATTTGCTTTCTTACTCATTGGGATCTTGTGATGGAATCACTACTTTCATATAAGCATCATTTAATTATCCTACAAAGGACTACAGTGAACTTCAGACAGCTAATGTAAAAAGGAAATTGTAAAATCTTATTTAGAAATCAAGAAATGTGAGGTAAAGCTTGAAATCCACCAGTGCCAATGCCCATGCCATACCAAGAAAAGTTAACTGTAATCTTTCTTTTGTTTTATGCTTAATGCAGTCTTCTGAAACGCCTTTTTGTTAGCTTAGTGGTGATCATGCCAGAATTCCTGGCGTGAAGAAAAGGATGTACAGAAAGTCTGTGACAGCTACCTGTTGTCCAGGACTTGCCACAGGTTTTATACTTCAGATTTAAAGTGACAAGACCATGGCGTCCTTGAAAAAGTCGGAGTGTATGTTCACTGTGACAAATGAATCACCTTATAAGAAGCTCAATATGATGCAGAATAACTCTGCCTGCAATAAATAAAATAATAAAACCCTGTCCCTAAAGTTCTGGTGGGCACCGAGACTACTACTGAGCTGGCAAAGAAGGTGCCGCTCTCTTAGAGCATTATTCGCTGTTAATGCGAAAGACTTGAAGATGCAGGATGTGTGAGCAAAGGTGATCTTCAGTGCCTGGACAACCAACAGTCTTGACACTGGGAATTTCTTAGGTATTTTTGCTGGATGGATCATACGGTTAGTCCCTGCTATTGCTAGAGAGCAGACTTGACATGAAGCAAACATCTATCTAGCACATCAATCCTCATTAAAAACAGAGTTTTCAGTGTGGAGTTTTAGTAGTAGGT